CCCGCGCGGCGGGAGGACCGCGGCGCCCCCTGGCCCGGGCAGGCGAGGAGCTGGCGCGTGGTGCGGGATCGAGCATGGCGCTGAAGGCGGGGATCGGAGTCGAGAAGCGGACAGGGGTCTCAGGAGGTCACCTCTGCCTCCCCCCTGCAGGTAGCGAAAGGCTGCTGTTCAGCCCCCCCTGCTCTTTTCTTCTGCAGGCTCAAGAAACCATGGGCAGGCAATTATTTCAGGCGGAGGGCCGCTTACAGAGTTTTGGCAAGCCATCGAGGGCTGCATGACAGGCAGCCAGGGGCAGATAAATATTAATTTTCTAAATTTTTTAGGACCCCCACAGACCATATAGGATGGCCTGGTGGGCCGCATCCAGCCTGTGGGCTGCATTTTGCCCACCCCTGCAATAAACCCACTTCCTTCAGCCTCTTCTTGAGCAGAGTCCCAGAGTTGCGCTGCGGACAGGACGGTCCCCGAACAATGGGAGAGGCAAGGACTGACCAAACAAGGAGCAACGGTCTCAGGTTGCAGCAAGGGACATTTAGGTTAGAGATTAGGAAGAATTTTCTCATGAGGAGGGTAGTAAAATGCTGGAACAGGCTACCCAGAGAGGTGGTGCAGTCTCCATCCTTGGAGATTTTCACAACAAAGCTTTGGCTGGGATGGTCCTGCTTTGAGCAGGGGGTTGGAATAGATGTGATCTCCTGAGGTCCCTTCCAACCCTCATTTTCTATGATTTCTTAGGGTGACATTTTTCATTGGAGCAACTGCATGGATGCAACTGCACTTACTTACCCTCACTGAAAGGTGGAGGATATCAAAATCTGCTGCTTAGGATGGAAAATCTGCAACCATGCAGTTGCAAACATGCAGTTGCTGCAATGAAAGATGTCACCCTAAGAAATCCTTGCCTCTTGCATCGCTTCAGGACCCTCCTGGCTGCAACTTGACACTTCCCCTACCATTTATAAACAAGCAACATAGATACCTGCTGCATCTGCCCCAGGGGTATTCCCCCGAGCCAGGAGCCCTTGGCCTGCTCACACTGGGAGACATCACAAGGTCTCCCTCTGCCAGGAGGAGCTTGCAATCAGTGCTGCTGGCTTTGACCTGGAGATTGGCACTGAACAAAAACACCTGGCAGGCATGCATTGCCCTCATTATTGCTTTGTGGCTCCAGGGAAGAGCAGAGGAGGCTGTTATACAGCCAGGTTGTGGGTCCTTTTGTGGGGGAATCCCAGCCAGCGCTAGTCTGCAGGTTCCTGAGGCTTTATGGGCTGGTCCAGGGTATCTGTCATTTTAGGATGAGACAGGTTTTTAGCAAAGGGGAGGAGGGAAAGTGTGGAAACTGGAAGAACAGCTGGTAGGTTGTATCTGTGAAGATACAGGAACAAGGGGGTGTCTGAAAAGGGTTCATGTGTCTGGGAAGTACATATGCTTGGAAGTGGTGATGACAAAGGGGAAAAGGATGGTCTGGATGTGTTTAGCACCAGGCTTGGGAACTGGATGTGAAGCCAGTCTGTTCTTTCATAGCAGTGAGGTTATCATGCCCATGCCCTCCAGGCATGAAAGGTAGCTGTGCCTGTTTGCTTTTTTTTTGAGAGAGAGGTTTTGGAAATTCCCCCAAAGGATTTCACCATGGAGGAGATGCATAGTGCAATGCCCGAGAGGGTGAATCCAGCCTCTCTCTCACTGAGGTTCCCGAGCACAGAGGAACCACTATAGCTCCATTTTACACATGCCTTCATTGATTTTCCGAGCCCATAGATGTGAGGGGAACCCATGGGAAGTCCAGTTTTCCCCTGTGTCCTATCACAACAGTGAACTGGAGGCCAGGGAGAAACACTGGGGAAGCCACAGCAGGATGGTGCATCCACTGCTATTAGTTTCCCCAACCACTGATTCCCTGCTGGTGTCTGTGATTCTCTCACCTCCACTGAACTGTAGGGGCAGTTGGGAGGTGACAGAAGTGAAAGCATCCCTTACCTCTCTTGCCCCAAACTCGACCAAGAGAGCTATGTCCACAGGGTAGATTCAGCGCAAGGAGTTTAACACACAAGTTCAGAATAAACACTCCTTAGGGGTGGAAAGCTGCATTTAACCTCCCTTGATACTTTAGAAGCATCTGCAAGTTTCCAGAGCCTTGTATCCCTGCCTGCAGCATTACTTTAGGCTTAGGATGACCACAATTCAAATCTGTAGTAGGCAGAACAGTACAGGACCTGTGCATGCGACAAATGCGTCCACCCCTGGGAGAAGGAGCAGGCCCTGTACCTCTAAGCTAAGGGAAAGGCTTGTTTGATTTGCTGTGCTGCTGAGTACTGAGAATATTTGGAGCCCAGGACTTTGGGTTATGAGTTTGTACTGGACCAAGGGCCCTTGGCTCTTATCAGCAGGATACAAGGTCAAAGGTGATCATTCTCAGGTAGATCTGCTGAGTCTTCCTGACTTGGAATGAATTTGGCAGCATATTTTAAAATCTCTGCTCTCTGCAAGAGAGATTTAAAATCTTATGCAATGCAGGGAAAAATCTCATTCAGAGTGTCACCAGTCTGACAGCCTTGAACCATTGTCCTCATTTCCCCAGAGGAGCAAAGTCAAACAGATTTCTGCTTATTACCTCATTTAATGTCCAACTGGGATTCACACAGTACAGCCTGATGATCTGAGCACGGGCTGGTTAAGTAATAGCAGGATTACATCACTGTTGCTTGTTAGGCATTTATTGCCAGCTCCTTGGATTGGGAACTGTGTTTTCCTTTGTGGTAGGAACACCCTTAGCACTTTTGTTCATGTAAATGAAAAAATATATAATTTTGATAATTCATATGTGTGCTTTATCAATATATATATGTTACCTTCCAATCCAGTGCTCCAGCCCTACACACAATCACATGCAAACATACATTTATTCTTTTGCCCTCTCTTTTTTTGTTTTTAACAGGACTGACTTGTGAGTTAAGTTATGCACATGGATTAATATTCATAGGGTCGGAGCCTAGTGTCCAGACTGCAAAACAGGACACAATACTGCTGTGAAAGAGAATGAGCCAGGAAAGGGATTAATAAGGAAAAGGGAGCAGGGTAGGAACAGTGGGATGACCAGGGGTTGTCAACTTGTGGGGAGGGAACACAGTGATAGATAGGACAGGGAGCAGAAAGCAGAGCAACAGACTAGCTAGGGATAGGGGACCAGAGTAGCACTCAGGCAGGGTGCAGGGCTTACCCTGTGGCAGGTCTGCCAAAAAAAGTTGACCCCCACTGAGCTGCACCCTGGGCCAAGTTTGTTTTCTCTGTTACAGTGGTGTGAATCAGGAGTAACCTCTGAGAAGTCCCAGGAGTGTGAGTGCACAATCAAACTTTTTTGAGCAGATTTTCTGCAGCAACTAATGGTCCGGATGCTTTAACTCGAGACACTCTCGATATGGTCTGAACTTCAGAAAGTGCTCTGCACACTCTGCAACTCAGCCTGGTGTTTAAGCTGCTTCAGGGGTGGCACCCAAACCATTAGTGGCTGTTGCAAATCTTGGCCCTGTGCGTTTTAATGATTGAGAGTAGATTTGCCGTGTGAAGCAGGCCAAAGGGTACAGCTTCTTGTGTGCTTCCCTCAAGGCTGATCATGTGAAGATTGCACAGAAAGGAAGGCCAGAAGGGCCTGTTGGATCATTTAGTCAGACTTCCTTTGTATCAGAGGCCAGCCTCACCCAGATTCCCTGTACGAGCCTGAACGTATGAGTTACACAAAATATCTCAGTCCTTAAAACTGTGGGTGTCACAGGTAAAGAACAGGTAAGACCCAGGCACCACCAATGTCCAAGGTCCCTGCAGGGGCAGGAAACAGATTCTGTGCGTCTCCCTGGCTGATCCCAGCAGACAGACCGTGCCCTGCATTACAGAGAAAAGTAAAAGCCTAAGGTCCCTACCAGTTTGACAAGGGGGAAGATTCATTTTTACCCCCACATCTGCCAATCCTAAGCATGAGTAGGACTCACCAGTGAAGTACCTGAGAGGTTCTCAGTGCTACGTCAGTGTAACAGTCCACCCTGCTGAATATGCATCTCTCCAGCTAGTGCCAATCCTTTGATGCTTCAGAGGAAGGCTAAAAAAAACCCAGAAACAAAATACTCTTTGGAAGAAACAATTCCTTCCTACCTTTTACAGGTCATGGACTGGAGCCCTGAAGGATGCCATTTGAGTAACTTAAGGTCAAGGTACAATTGTTAGAAGTGCATTCAGGGTACAGAAAGTAACAGGATAAATGGGGAAACACAGGTCTGCAGATTGAAAAGCCAGAAGGAATCAGAATTTTGTTGCGGGGGGTGGGGATAGGCACTAAACACAGGACAGACAGTCCCTGTGCTGAAAAGTTTGCCTGTAGCTATGCAAGATGAAGTGTTGGAGGAGAAACAGAAGCAATAGAAGTGACATGAGACCATAAAGCAGGTCAGTAAGTGAGCCAGAAATAGAAAGTAGGTCTCTTGTCTCAGGCCGGTGCCCACTGATAGCATGATTTAGTTAATGTTTGTTGGTCTTTGAAACAGAAGAACACTCCCTCAAGTCTAATTCATAGCTGGGGCCCTGGGGCAAGAATTAATGATGCGTTATAATTGCTGTAACCAAACAGGGCAGGTGACTTTACAAATATAGGCGGGGTTGGAAAGTCACTGCATATTGTCTGCCACCTGCCATCACCTACCTCTGTCCCACCTGTGAAGGGGCAGCGCATCTGTGTCCTGGTACAGCCCAAACACCATCAAGAGGCACTTGACAGGGCGGTATAATGTTCCTGGAACAGCAGCCACCAAGCTGCTGGCTGGAGGGAAGTAAAAGCAAAGGCAGCCTTTCAGTAGAGCCGCTCACAACAGCTGAATGCTAAGGGGACAGTCCTGCCGTAACGTGAGCCCCACTCGCTCCACCGAAGCAGCTCCCTCCCCAGACAGCTTAATGGCGCGTGCACTTTGGCAGGTCTTTTTATGCCACCGCAGGGGTTGAGACAGGGAAACGCCACCACTCAGACAGGACGTTGCCATTCTTCACAGACTGGGCAGTGCCCTTCGCCCTGCAGGGTCGAGGCTGCTGCATTGAGCCCCATGCCCGAAGTCGCAGCAAAGTTAGTTTAGATTGGATCTCCGGAAAAAACGCCTGCACGGGTAGATCAGCGAGGCAGCGACTAGACGTGGGCAGCTGTGGACTCCCCATCACCGGCAGGGTACAAGGAGAGGCTGGTCGGGGATGATCCAGGCCTAGCGATGCCTTTGTTTTGCTGTGGGGATTTCTCAGGCTTCCGCCCAATTCTGCTACGCGGGTTGGGGGTGTTTTTAAGCCTTTCAGAAGCACTGGGGGCTGGGGACTTGGACCGCGCTTCTGCTGGGACCAAAGCCAGAGGTTTCTGGCTAGAAGGTCTTGCCCCTCCACTCAGGGTCACAGCGATTGCCAGATTTAGGGTCAGGAAGGTATTTTGCCCCATGGTCAGATTGGTGGGGGGGTGCAGCCCCCTTCCAGGGGCGCTGGCTGCCGCGGCTCCCCCTGGGACCGCGCAGGGGGGTCGTCTCCCGTCGAGTTCAGGTGCCGGGTTGGACGGTCGGGTCGGCGGCCTGAGGCAGGGCTCGGACTAGGGGGCCTGGGGCTGTCGCTTGCAGCCCTGCGGCCCTCCTCACAGGCGTCCTGGCGTCGGCCTCGCCTTGCCGGGGCAGCCCGGGCGGCGCTTCTCGGCGGGGGGGGGCGCGGGCGCGCGCGGAGGGCGGGAAATGGGGCAAG